AAAAAAAAAAAAAAAAAAAGCAAGCGGCAGACTCTTTGGACTGAGAATAAGCTTTCTGAAGCCGAAGATTTTAAAGGGATGGTGATCAGAGCAGTGCCTGAAAGAGAATAAAACTTCTATTTGGAGCTCTGGAGCATGGGACATTTACTCCCACCAGGCGTGCCCGGTTCAGCCTCCTAAAGGGCAGGAAAAGACCTGCAGGAAAAGACCTGCAGGAAATCCCTGCGGCTGCCTGGCGCAGGAGGCAGGGGCGGTGCAGAGGGGACCTGAAGCCACCGGCCCAGGATGAACTCCACGCACCAGCCCCGGCTGCACACTTCCCTGCACCTCCGAAACCTCAGCGCCCACAGGCCGCACGGCAACGCCAGCGAGCCCCTGGGGAAGGGCTTCTCCGACGGAGGGTGCTACGAGCAGCTGTTCGTCTCCCCCGAGGTGTTCGTGACTCTGGGGGTCATCAGCTTGCTGGAGAATATCCTGGTGATTGTGGCCATCGCCAAGAACAAGAACCTGCACTCCCCCATGTACTTCTTCATCTGCAGCCTGGCTGTGGCCGATATGCTGGTGAGCGTCTCCAACGGCTCGGAGACCATCGTCATCACCCTGCTGAACAGCACGGACGCGGACGCGCAGAGCTTCACCGTGAACATTGACAACGTCATCGACTCGGTCATCTGCAGCTCCCTGCTCGCGTCCATCTGCAGCCTGCTCGCCATCGCGGTGGACAGGTACTTTACCATCTTTTACGCCCTCCAGTACCATAACATCATGACGGTTAAGCGGGTGGCCATCATCCTCGGCTGCATCTGGGCGGCGTGCACCGGGGCGGGCATCCTGTTCATCATCTACTCAGACAGCAGCGTGGTTATCATCTGCCTCATCAGCATGTTCTTCACCATGCTGGCCCTCATGGCCTCTCTGTATGTGCACATGTTCCTCATGGCCAGGCTCCACATGAAGAGGATCGCCGTCCTGCCAGGCACTGGCACCATCCGCCAAGGTGCCAACATGAAGGGGGCCATTACCTTGACCATCTTGATTGGGGTCTTTGTGGTCTGCTGGGCTCCATTCTTCCTCCACTTGATATTCTACATCTCTTGTCCCCAGAATCCATACTGCGTGTGCTTCATGTCTCACTTTAACCTGTACCTCATTCTGATCATGTGCAATTCCATCATCGACCCTCTCATTTACGCACTCCGGAGCCAAGAGCTGAGGAAAACCTTCAAAGAGATCATCTGTTGCTATCCTCTAGGAAGTCTCTGTGACTTGGCTGGCAGATATTAGATGGGGGCAGAGGAGACACTAAAAGCATGCATAAGACAGAACCTGAACAGTGTGCTTCAGCAACAGCTCTGTCTTCTGTGGAGGGCACTGGTTGAGAATATCTATTGTATAAATTCACGTTTGTGACTTTGGGTGTGGAAACATGCCCAGTCTCTGTATATGTTTAATGTCATGCTACTCTTTGGCCATGCAATGTTTACATGAAAACACCTTTGGCTGTGCAATGCTAATCCACATTATAGGTGGTAGACACCGTGGATTTACAGAAAAGAAAAAAAGTTCTTATTAGAAGCGTCACAATGTCTCTTTCTTGTAACTCATAAGGATGTGACACTTTGCTTGTTGTAGTAATGTGGAAATCACAGCCTCGTTAAATATATTCTAAGAAATGGTTTCTTGTATTAACCTGTACATTGTAAGGTAGAGATTTGATTCTCACATTTAGGGGGAAATATTAAAGAGCAGATGCTTAGTCATTTTAAAAATCAGCTGAAATTTCAAGGAATTTAGTAAAACATGTTCATTCTCCCTGTGCACAAGTAGAAATGAAGTTCCTATTGACAGTAAAACAGCTACTTGGGGGTGGGGGGGGAGTGAAATTTTGAGTCAGAAAACTCTGTGTTTGTCAAAGACAGAGAGATTAATTTGTCAAGCAAATAGTTTGATATCCCACTCAGGCTCTTCAGCTTGGGGTGGGGAGTGGGGGGAGAAAGCAGCTTTGGGGATCACAGTGTTCTGGAAAAACCTAAATTAACATGTCAAGCTAAACTTCCTGATACCAACCTATTTGCAAGCAGCATTAATAAAAACAGAGGATAAGGCCTCTCTGCCCCTTTAACCAGGGACCCGTGTCTGCTGAAGTGGCCGGAAAAGGTGGTGCTGCCCTGAGAGCTGGCCTCTGAGCTCTAAAGAACAGGGCTGCTATGGAATTCTTTCACTTTTCAGTGGAAGAGACTTGCTGTTCACTTATTGCTTAGTTTCTGAACTGGAGCATAATTACTCATTATTGAGGATTCCAACTTTAAAAACCAGATCTATAGCACAAGTATTTTTAGGCAAGATTTGTGAATGTCTAAAGTAAGGGAACCTCTGATGCTGACACCTTTTGAGCAGGAAGTAAGACACTTAACTCCAGAGGACAGATAACATGATGTAAATTCCACAGCCACACTGTGCAGAGTAAATACTTGGTCTTGCTCCAAAATAATCCCAGAGATCTGGCTACTGAGCAACACAATTTGCACTTTCCAATTTGTGTGTACTTTAAAGAGAAAGAAAATATATTAGGCTGGAGATTACCGGTAAACTATTCTTTGATTTAATTTATAGTCTCTTCAAATGCTCAGAGGCAGAGATAACATACCAAGGTGCTTCTTAATTCAAATCTGAATGGTTTGCATATTAACACTTTCTAAGAAACACTTTCAGCATGGAAACACTCACTGCATTAAACATAATGGTCACGTTCAAGTTTACAAATGAAAAGTGGGACAGAAGCTAGATTCACTATAATTCCTCTATTTTGACGTAAAAATAAGCGTGAGAATTTTAACACAGGCTGACCTTTCAGTCACAGCCCAAAGCTGTAGCCAGACGCAACCAGTGTTGTCTTGGCTACTCCTCCTGTCCACTCTTTAATGTAGCGATTGTGAGAAACCTCAGGAACTGGAGACATGAGAACTGAAGCTACAAGCACGCCCCACCTGTTCTGTGGTGGCTGCCCTGGCAGTGTATTTATTTCTCCAAGTGTCACCTTAGATGCTGCTCGGGCCATTTAGAACCCACTGGAAGGAAAACGGCTCCTTTGTGTTCACACTCACTCCTCCTTCTGGAACAGGTTAGTGTGAAGGTGAGTGTCAGTCACGAACCTGTCCTGTCCAAGCAGCCGGGTCCCCTGCATGCCCAGGACACAATATTAGACTTCAGCTTCTTTAAGGGCTAAGACTACATCTTACTGGGTCCTCCCAATATTCCTCTGTTAGGTTACTTCTTTCTCCAGTAAAACCAGGGTTCTGCCAGCGGGACTCGTCATGATCACCCCGAGCTCACAGTTTACATGAGAGTTCATTAGGGTGTTCTATAGGATGTGTTCGGACAAGTGTGTAATGACACAAATCCACCACTGTACTATCATTCAGGATAGGGTCACTTCCTTAAAGGTCCTCTCTGCTCTGCCTACTTATCCCTCCCTCCCGCCAACCCTGACAACCCGGGACCCCTTCGCTGTCTCCACAGTTTTGTCTTTTCCAGAATGTCGTACAGTTGCAATCAGACAGTATATAACCTTCTCAGATTGGCCTCCTTCACTTGGTGACATGCATTTAAGATTCCTCCATGTATTTTCATAATTTGGTAGTTTATTTCTTTCAGTGCTGAATAATATTTCATTCTATGGATGTAACAGTTCATTTATGTGTTCACCTACTGAAAAACATCTTGGCTGCTTCCAAATTTTGGCAATTATGAATAAAGCTGCTATAAACCTTTTTGTGTGGACATATGTTTGCAACTCATACCAAAGTACAGGAATTCACTTTTTCAAATTTCAGTCTAACCCTGGCCGGTGTGGCTTAGTGGTGGTTAGAGCGTCAGCCCTAACACTGAATGGTCTCGGGTTCGATTCCCAGTCAAGAGCACGTACCTGGGTTGCGGGGTTGCAGGTTTGATCCCTGGCTCAGTCAGGGGCGCATGTGGGAGGCAACCAGTTGATATGTCTCTCTCACATCAGTGTTTCTCTTTCTCTAGCTCTTTCTCTCTTCCTCCCTTCCACTCTCTAAAAATCAATGGAAAAAATTTCCTGGGGTAAGGATTAGCAGAAAACAAACAAACAAAAACTTCAGTATAAATACTGTGATGTTTGTGTCTACCCTTTAATATTTCATTAAGAGTGGTTAATTAGTGTTTGATTTATGCTGGTCAGGAACATACACTCCAGATGTGGCTGGTAAGCAGCATCAGATACCTTTATTAAAAATTTCACCAGAAAGTTCAATTAATAATTATAAGATATATCGGAAATAATTTTTCTTTGGTGAAACGAGTGATTTTCAAGATCTGTTAACTTAAAAAAATTGTACAGCAATCACCATAATTTGCATGAGCAAGGTGCAAGATTTGTGCCCACTTAGCAGCTAGCCTGACATTTAGACTCTAGGTCCCAAACTCTAAATAGTCCCACACGTCCCTCACCTGCTTTGAAAAAGTCTCTGTTGCCCAAACTAAATATTTTTAAATTAGTTTAAAAAATGCCTTTGAAGAGGTAAGGGCTAACTTCCGTTTTGTATTACAGGGAACACACAAAACAGAACATTTAGTGTGATGCCAACCATTTAAACAAAGTTTCACCAATCTACTTATACACCCCTTACAGAGTACTTTCCATAAATTTGGATCAATCAGTAGTCATTATCCCAGAGTGATAATATTAAGGGACATGTTCACTTTCTTTATTGTGGATTTATATTATGTAAATGTACTACAGTGAACATTTTAAGTTTTACAAAGCACACATAACCCTTACAACAGAAAGATGGTCGATGGAAATGCAATGGCCGAGTTACCAATGATTTGTGGGAAAAGAGTAAGTGTAAAAGGCATTGGTTTTGAATGAGAGCACATCTTGAATAGCATCCAACTGACCCTCCAAGCAGACCTGGAGAGGCCGTCTCCTGTCACCGGCAGCATCAGAGCCCGAGCCCAGCTCCTGACACCCCCTCCAGGTTCCCTCTACCAACGTCAGGAGCCTTCTTCTGTGGACAAGCCCAGCCTCCCCGGTCGGGGAGGCCTAGGACGGGATTCTGGTGACACCACTTTTGAGCTGTGAGATTTTGTTGAAGTTAGTTTACTCATTGTTAAAAATATATAAGACTCTTTCTCTGATGAGAATCTTAAAAGAATAAAAAGCAATTATAAGATTAAGGATGTAAAGATCCACAAACTTATATATAAGCTCTCAAAACTGGTAAGTGTTAATATCTTTAAAAACACAAATGAATAAATCCATGTGTGAGTGAAGACTTGCCAGTCTTGCTTCCTTTTTCAGGCTCTCAACATTATCAGTAAACACAGGTAGGCCCTGGGCTTAATTATATATCTTTTCTTAAGTCACGCTTAATAATTCTCTTGAATTTGACTTTTTATATAAAAATGAATGTATTAAACATAGTAGATATACAGACATACCTGCATTTTAAAAGAACAATTTAGCATCAATAATGCTAATTGTTTTAAATTTTTGCAGTGCCACATTTAATACTGAAAAAGGCTAATTAGGGAGGTAATGTGCCAAATATGAAATAATCAATTAGCCCATTTCTTCACAGATTAATTGATATTCATTAAACTTTATGCCATAAATTTAACTGTTAGTACAAAAATATTACCCAACTAGATGCCACTGATTGTAAACACAACCCTCCTTTAAAAACACCATAAATAATGAATTTAGAGTCACATCTTGATGCTCAGTTATTAGTCCATCACTTATTGATCAAAGATATGTGCATAAAGACAGAAGGAGGATGGTGTGTGCACTGAGGGGATATTGGGCTCAAATCCCAAACTTACCAGCTCTAGAACTTCTGGCAAGTTACTCACCTTTCCTAAGCATCTATAGAGTAACCTTTTACATGGAGATAACAAAATCCACCGTCTCGTGTGGTTAATGATAAATATGAATTATGTAAAATTAGATAACTGATATAAGGGATCTAGTATAGTGCTTGTCACAATAGGTATCTATGATTATAATGATCAGTGTAATTACACTCAAAAGGTCATCAGAGCTTAAAGCCCAGAAGAGGTTAAATGATGATACAGACTTGGATATGCTCACTTTCCTAGCATGGGGAGCCAGGAATCCATGCACATCGATTTCCAGTACTTCATTTATTTCTAACAAGCAAAGCAAGTAAAAATGAATCCCTGTTTATTATTTAAATATAAAGACATTTTGAAAGTCTCCCCCAAAATTCAGGGAAAGTAGAAGGTGGAATTGGGTAAGAAAACACAAACTGTTTCAATGGCTTCAGTAATGTGCTAATTCTTTTATTGAACAATGGGTTGATATATGCCTTAATATTATGCTTTACAGTCTAGAAATATATGACATTCTTCTGTAGATATTCAATATTGTGTGAAAATTAAGTAAATATTATACATTTATTATGAAATGTGCTTACTGAGAGGGAACACGTAAAACTGTGTTTATAGGGAACAAATAAAGGATTCGCAGCACACTTGAATGCTGCCACTTTTGGAAGATGAAGAAGAACTTTGATCTCTGATAGTCATGGTTGAACTTGGCCCTGGGTTAATGAAATGAAATGAATACTGATAGTGTACAACTATTAACAGTGTTTTCACTGCCATGAGACACCCGGAAGCCCCACAAATACAGAGCCAAGTGGGAAATTTCAGCAGCTCAATCAGTGAATTATTCAATGAGGTTTTTGTATGGGGCTCAGCTGCAAAGAAACTATTATGGTTGGATTTCTAAACTTAACATTTTAAACAGTGTGAAAATTTTCACTCTTAAATTCAAACCACCACTGAATTAAAGTGAAAATATGATAATAAACTTATTCATAA